GCAAATTAATTTTACCCATATGCACCAAGTGAAAAAAAAGTTCAATTTCTTTTAGTTCTGGTTAATACCTTTTCAGGATGGGTCAAGGCTTTTCCCACAACCAACAAACGAACTTTTACTATCACCTCCAAATTAAATAACAGAAATCATCCCCAGGTTCAAGGTGCTTCTTTCTTTTCAATCTAATAATGGTTCTAAATTCATTTCTCAAATTACTCAAACGCTTGCACAAGCCCTACAAATTACATGAAAGCTAAACATCGCTGTTGACCTCAATCTTCAGGAAAGGTTGAAAAAATGAATGGCATTTTGAAAAACACGCTCACCAGGTACTCACTCCAAACACATAAAGACTGGATTACACTTTTGCCTTTAGCCCTCCTAAAAATTTGAGCGCTCTCATGTAAACCTTTAAGCTCAGCCCCTTTAAACTCACGTATGGGAGACCACTCGCCCCTTCTGCTCCACCTCCACCAACCCCTCTTGTTTCCCCTCTTCTACATACCATCTGCCATTTCATTTAGGCATATGCTGACAATACCTGCCACAACCCATCGCCAACTCCTCTAATCCCTCCTTACAGCCAGGAGACCGGGTTATGGTAAAAAATCCCAATCCTACCCTCAATTCCCCTTTTACACCTAAATGGAAGGGACTTTACCAGATCATCCTTACCACACGCACAGCAGCAAAACTCCAGGGACTCCCTAACTGGTTTCATCATACTTCTCTCAAGAAAACAGACTTCCCTTCACCACATACCCAAACAACCACATCTAAAACCCCTTCAGCCTTCTCTTGTATTTCCACAGGATCCACTTCCCTTCGCCTCACCCAAGTCCCAGAGGAAAAGGAGGAAAAATCCACATAAGCCACTTATGTCTCTTTCTCTCCCAAATTTTCATTGCTTCCTAAACAACCTTGTTATAGACCTTCAGTGGTATCCTTATGAAGCTCCCATTATACATCCTGACCAGCTCCTTACTGTTCTATGAGACCTGTGGCTTCAATGAACTTTCTAGGACTTTACTCCTATCCAAATAACTTTTTTTCTCTTTTTGTTTGTTTCTTTCAGTATAAATTCCCTAATCACGTGAACTTTACCAATACAACCACTCCTCACTGCTCTCAAACACAAACGCTCTCTAAACCCTACACAATCCCTTTTGCTTCAAGCTAACCCTTCCTTTGCTCCAGAATGCTGATGTGCTTGTCACTGTCTTCCTCAGCTTACACAGCCCTTCCTACACCCCTTCATGACCTTTTAACAGGAAACATAACTGCAATTTATAAACTCCAAAAAGGAGCTTCCTTTTTAAAAAAAGCTGACACCCCAGTTAGTGACTATCTCACTTCCAGGGCCAATCAGGCCAACAAATTATTTCAAACCTCCTGCAACTCCTTACAATGCCTCAAGTCCCAAGGCCCTCCCATAACTAAATACAACCCCACTTCTACAGCAAGCCTCACTTTGCTTTTTAGCCTCTAAGGGAAATTTCCCTGTAGGATCCTTGACATCTAACCAATGCTACCTCACTATCATTGTTAAATACCCCCCTGACCATCAAACTAACCGGGTTAATTTCCAAGTATCACCTGAAGCAAACGGAGCATTTCTGCAACCGGCTCCTTTTATAGCCTCTCCCTCAGCCAATGTCTCTAGCCTAACTTGTGCTGCTCCTAGTGCCCACATTTTCCCATGGCTCAGTATGAATGGTGCAACATCCGATTGCATTAAATGTGTAAAAAATAACTCTTCCTATATCTCTATTATAGTAGGTATCTCCCCAGCTTCCTCCTTGTCTACCTGGAGTAATGAGCCACAGGAAAAAAAAAAAACACCCCATCTTTAATTCACTTATTTTCTTTCCATATCTCCACCTGTATTTACAACAAAGGTTTATTCTTTTTGTGTGGCACCAACACATATCTTTGTCTCCCCACCAACTGGACTGGAATCTATACCCTAGTTTATCTTTTTCCCTCCACTGGACTAGTTCCTCCTAATCAATCTTTACCCATTCCATCTGTCCAATATATTAAAAAAAGAAGCGCCATCCAAGTCATTCCTTTAATGGTCGCTTTAAGTATAACCTCTGGGCTTGGACTGCAAACAGGCAGATTGGCCACCTCCTTAACATACTTCAAAGCTCTGAATAGAACTACAGGATTTATTAAAAATATAGCCCAAAGCCTTATAAAAATCTAAGACCAACTAGACTCCTTGGCTGGAGTAGTCCTCCAAAATAGAAGCAGATTAAATCTTATAGTAGCTAAAAAAGAGGGCCTCTGCCTCTCATTGGGTAAGAAATGTTGCTTCTATCTCAACCAATAGGGCCTAGTAAAAGATGCTGCTGAAAATCTTAAAGAGAGAGCTAAAAAGCTAAGGGAACACTAAAGCAATCAAATAGATTCTTGGTTTAGGAACAAAATCATAACATGGGTCATCTCATTCCTGGGCCCTCTCTTAATAATATGCCTAGAATTAATGTTCTTAACCTGCTTAATTCACCTTTTTCAAAAATTTTTAACTGACAGGATCATGGCCACCTCACAGACAATTACCCAAAAACATCCATGGATGGCATTACTACTACAGTAAACCCATGACCAAAGAACCTTCCACACCATGCTCCCCAGCAGGAAGTAGCCAGAAAAAAAAACCGGCGACCCCTCATCCTTTTATAATTACAGGGACTGAATTGACAGAGCAAGAGCATCGCCATTTTGGACAAACACCACCATTTTAAGTTCCCCTGAATTAAAAAATCGCCTAAATCCAGCCCAAAAACATCAGCCTAATGGCTTATGTCAGTATAACCAGAAACATTTCAGCCCTAAGATAAATCACCCCCCTCCAGCCAAAAACATGCCAACCCTGAGACAACCTCCCCTCCAACCAGAGACATTCCAACCCCACAATAAACCTTCCCTCACACAGAAATATTCCAAGGCTGCCATAAGCTCTCTCCTTCCTAAACTCTTAAATACCCTCAGTCTGTAAAAGAAAGCGCTCCTGACTGAAATCATCCAGAATCCGTTCTCAGGTTTATTCTCCAAAATAAACCTGTCTTTAACTGTTGAGCCACTTTTCATGTTTCTTTCCCCTTTCTTTAACTCTTACACCTTGGGGGTAGAGGAAGATGAAGCTCCCTTCCCTCATTCAGGGAGACCGGATTTTGGGGTGGAGGACATTGCCACACTTGTCTGTATGAAACACACTGCATGAAACCTCGTGTCTTCTAATTCACTCCATGCCACCGCTTTTGCCGTTTGCCCACTATTTTTGAATGCTTTCAACTGCTTAGCATCGAGTCACATCCGTGTGCCCCGCAAGGACCACACCTGTAGGGCCTCAGGGTGCGGGTGGAAGTACAGAAGGCAGGATCACAGGGAAGAGGACAGGGACCAGGAGGAGTGAAGGGCAGAGTCCCCCGCCCCAGGCAGGGTGAACAGAGGGTGGGCGGTGCCCCGTTGGGGCTCATGAGCCGCCAGATGGCAAAATGATCTCAGAATCCAGTCCTTACATGGGTTCAACTTTATTTAGAAGCAACTATGGCGCTTCTACCACACATTTTGAAGTGTTTGGTGAGCTAGAATCCCGGTAAGAGGAGGATTTTCAGCTTCTGTTTCCACCCAGCCCTAAAGAGGCTGCAGCACTATACGAGGCTGGGAGAGGGGACGCTGGCCCGGCAGGGGCAGAGCCCAGAGGAGCACGGGGTGGCCGCATGGACGGGAACACAGGAGGATGACTGTGTTCATTGCAGTCACTGGCCCCTTGCTCGCCCTGCGTGCTCACAGTGTGTCCGTGGCAGGCCTTGCTGGCTGGGTGGCCTTCGGAAGGAGGCATGAGGTGGCGTCCATGGGCCACCAGGAGCCTGTGGTGCCCGTCAGTTACCAGGGGACAGGGATCTGTGCATGTCCAGCTGTGGATACAACAGGGGCTCAAACTGAAGGACTCTGCGTGATGATGCGAACTCAGGAGTGGCCCTGGGCCAGTCTGTTTCCTCCTGATGCTGCACAAGGACTGAGGGCGTCCTCGGGGTTTCTCATGAATGGTCCTCACCTTCAGAAGGTTGTTAGAGGGATTTCCTGTGTTATCCAATGCTAACCTTGTCTTTCTGACTCCCTACAATCTTTCACCCATAGCCTCTTCCTCCCCTATCAGGGTACCTCTTCCCATAAGCCCATTTTCCAAGGATTCACTCCCTTCCAACAGCAGTAATTACATTTCCACCTCCAACAATCCCACTGGCATCAGAATCTAAATAGAAAATCTGGGCAGAGGTAGAATCCCCAGCAGGAGCCACCCTGCCTTTCCAAGTCTACATCATCTGGGTTCCAACCCCCATCCTCCTCCAGCAAGAAGCTTTTGTCCTCTCAAGATTCCAGTGAATTCTCCGAAGTTCAGATGCCTCTTCAGCCCTGGCTGTTCCAAGGTGGCCCCATAGTCAAGATTCCTTAAACCCTTGCACCTAAAATGTTTGCCTTTCTTATCATGCTGGCTCCAGCCTCTGGTCCCAGGGGTGTGGACAGTTCTCTCTTACCTCTGGCTGATTTCCAGGAAGGCTAAGAACACTCTCCCCAGGTTACAATGCCGAGCATTTTGGTTCTCTCCAGCCCTGGGTCCCAATGTTGAGATCTGCCTTAGTCCAGTTCAGGCTCTCCAATGGGCTTGAGAGAAGATTCAAAGTTTCTGGCTTTACCCTCCAACCCTCCAACCCCCACGGCCCCAGCCATCTCAGCAAGGGGAAGGGGCAAACATGGAGTCTCCCCACAGCTCCCATGTAAACTATGCCCCCTCTTAGAGGGCAGAGCTCCCAAGGACAATTTTGGTTCATGGACTTTTTTTTTTTTTTTTTTGCTGTCTATTGCACAAACAAGTGGACTTCTGGGAGCTGGCCCTGCTCGTTCCCTGGGCCCTCCTTCCCTGGTCCTGCAGGTCTTGCTGCTTGTCAGGCTTCTCCACCAACCCTCTGCCACATTTCAGAAAAGCTGAGAACCCCTTGGAATGAAAAAAGGGGGAAAACACAGTGCCTGTAGCCGAGCAGGAGATTAAAAAAATACTTTCACTTCTCTTTTCCCCATTTGGGCAGAAACCTGTGAGGGTGAGTCAGTCTGTCGGCCGACTTCCTGTTCTGGGTCTGGGCAGCCACACTGCATGCAGGCTGGGCTGACGGGGGAGCTCATAAGCCAGGCTCTGAGACCCAGGCAGGGCCTAGGGTGGGAAGATGGCAGGTGTGGGCAGCGACCTGAGTACCAGGTGAGTCTTTATCTCTCTTCCTTTAACCTTTATCTCTGGCAGTATTGGAGTTTTCATGCATTTAGTTCAGTTTCTGTCTAAAGCTTCACTTTAGTCCTGCTTTGCAAGAACATAGGTAGGTAGTGTAATATAATGAAATAAAAGAGAACGTAATGAGGAAATCAGATTTTTACAAGTGCAGCAGGACAGCTGTTTGTGTGAGTCCAGCTTGCCGTAACACAGATGACTTTTCTTGTTTTGAAACTACTGCTCCACTGGCTGGGACATTCTGAACAGTCGTTTCAGTCATTTGTGAGTTATTATTTCCTCATGATCTCTGAACACTTTCACATCCCTCTGCCCTCTCTGCCTTCACATATGTTATGTCAAAGAAGGTAGTTTAGAAAATAGACACTCCAGGGCAAACAGCTGGCTTACTTTTAAACACTGGAAACTGTGGTTTCACCTGTCCTGGCAAGGGGCCTCAGTCAGCTTTGGGGCTATTTCCTTGACTGACTCAGGGTGTGAGTTCTGATACAATTGACCTGGATCCGAAGAAGGAAAAAGAAGAAAAAGGCCCAGGATGACAGAAACTAAATATTTTTTATTTTTGCTTCAATTTCCTGTCCCAAGATGGGGGATGCCGCTGACCAGAAAAGACGTGGAAATCCTATCTTTTCTCTAGTAATGAGTTCATAAAAAACATTACTTAATCTTTTTTTTTTTTTTTTTGAGACAGGGTCTCACTCTGTCACCCAGGCTGGAGTGCAGTGGCATAATCCTGGCTCACTGCAACCTCTGCCTCCTGGGTTCAAGCAATTTTAATCTTTTAAATTTTTTAATGCAAAAGAAATACATTACATTCTTGCTCATAAAATTTCAAACAGTGGAGGAGTATGTAAAGGAAAAAATCTCCTTCACCACTCACCTCACCTTGTAGCTTCCTTTCACAGTCCTGTGAAGAGTCTTGGGCACAGCTTTTCTTATATTTTTCGATGCATTTATGTGTATGAAGTATGTTTTTGTAAATACATAATTTGTGTTCTTGTCTTGTAACACATGGGATTACATTGCACATGTTATTCTGCATTTTGCATTTTTACTCATTTTAATGGTGGAAATCTTAGAGATCTTTCACCTTAATACATGCAGATCTATCTCATTCTTTTTACACATACTATTCCATAGAATGTACGTAGCATAATTTTTTAACCATTCTCCAATTGAAGGGCATTTATATTGTTTTAAATTGTTCACGTTTGTTAATAAGCTATAATAATGATTATATATTTCTTTTTTTTTTTTTTGCACGTATACAAGTATCTATCTTGCGTCTAAAGCTTAAAAGGTGGAATTGTTGAAGCAAAGGGTGCTGTTGTTTACTTGTTTATAGATCCTGCCAAATTGTCTTTTTAGGAGGCTGAATGGAGTTGTTTCACGAGTAGCAAATGAGATGAACTATCTTCCTGCACACAGCCAAAGTTTGCAAAGGTGATAAAGAATTGCATTTTGTTTTAATTTGTATTTTCCTGATAATGTGGAAAGCTGAACAGTTTTTCATGTTTTGTGGCCAATTAAATTTCCTCTTCTATCATTTTTTTATTTATTTTTTGCCGGTGTGATTCAGTTGAGGTGTTTGTCTTTTTTTCATGATATGGGAGAGTTCACTAAATATTCTGCAAAGTATAAATATACTTTTCTTCTCCCTTACATTTGTATATGGTGACTTTTATCTTATTAACAGCTCAAAATTTCATGTATAAACATCTTATGACGTAGATTTCATGAGACAGATGCACCCTCATTTATAAATAGTGATGCGGAGAGCTGCTGAGGCACTCTGTGAGCCATGTCAGTTTTCAAAGTCTTTCTTGTGTTAAGGTGGCAGATTCGATTCTGCCTTTGTTCCAGGAAAAGTTCCTTCTCTAAAATCTCTGACATTTTCTTTTTCAATTTTTAGGCAAAATTATTCTTACATTGGGGCAACTTCAGTCTTCACAGCTTTTATATTCCCCCTGGTGCTTTCATCTTTTCAGTTTTTTACTTCGAGTTCATAATAGTTGTCTCAGACTTTTCCTCCATGACAATTATCTAGTGATATGGTTTGGCTCTGTGTCCCCACCAAAATCTCATCTTGAATTGTAATCAGAATTGTAAATTCCAGGTGCTGAGAGAGGGACCTGGTGGGAGGTGATTGGATCATGGGGGCAGTTTCTCCCATGCTGTTCTCATGACAGTGAGTGAATTCTACAAGATCTGATGGTTTTGTAAATGATAGTTTCCCCTCTGCTCTCTCTCTCTTGCCGGCTTGTGAAGAAGATACTTGCTTCTCCTTCACCTTCCACCATGATTTTGAGTTTCCTGAGGCCTCCCCAGTCATGTGGAACTGTGTGCCAATTAAACCTCTTTCCTTTATAAATTACCCAGTCTGTGGTATTCCTTTAGAGCAGTGTGAAAAAGGACTATTCCATCTATATTTTAGTAGATTTCTTGTTTCTTGTAATTTCCAACTTAAAAAAATTGATTGTGTTTATTTATGAGGAGGGATCTTAATTTGTTTCTATAGCTCTGCAAGCTCCCCTGTATTCCACATTTTGTTAATTTCTCATTCAATCTTCATGGTTTTGCTTTATTTAGGTTTTTGTGCACTGTTAAGAACTTTGGGATATTCTTATTAGCATCTTTGAGATATTCTTCCAGACTGATTCTATCTGATCTTGTGTTCCTTGTGCCTGCTGTGGCTTTACAGCGCCTCCGGGCAGGCTTGACCAGAGCAGCTCACCCTAAATATTCCATTTGCTCAGTCATAATCTGGGAGAGTCACTTTTTTTTTTTTCAGGGTTCCTATTTTGTCTGAGACCAAATTGTTTTTGTCTGAGCTGCAGTTTGAAGACTCTGTTTTTATTCTTATCAATTTTTCTGATGACACCATTAATTATATTATCCTTTTCCCCACTTACTGTGAACCAAGTGGCCATAGAGGCAGGGTGTGTTTCTGTGTTCTCTTTTCTCTGCCCCTGGCCTGTGAGAGCCTCTCCTTATGCCAGTACCAACCACACTGCCATAGCGATGGAGGCTTCCCAGGAACTCTTGACATCTGACAGGGCAAAATCTCTTCCTCTTCCTCCAAAAGTCTTAAACTTTGGGTTCCCAAATTAGCCTGTCAAAATCTTGGCATTTTGTGTGGAATTGCATTGACTCTATAGATCAGTTCGAAGAGAGCCGACATATTTACAATATTATGGCTTCTGTTCTCATGAATATGGCTCAAGTATAAGATTAATTTAGAAATATTTTCTATTAAAATATATGTTTTCTCTTTGAAGGTTTTGTACCTCTGCTAGATATTTGATATCTTTATGCCATTATTAACTATAGTAGTCCTCCTTTATGCACGGTTGCACTTTCTGAGATTTCAGTTAGTCATAGTCGACCATGGTCCAAAAACATTAAATGGAAAATTCCAGAAATATCCAGAAATAAACAATTCATGAATTTTAAGTTACTTGCTGTTCTGAGTAGTGTGATGAAATCTCATGCTGTCCCTCTCCATCATGCCCAGGATGCAAACTATCCCTTTATCTAGCGTATCCACAATCCACAATGTGGACACCACCAGTCCATGAATCACTGAGTAGCCATCCTGGTAATTGGATCGGCTGTCATGGTATCACAGTGCTTGTGTTCAGAGAACTCTGATTTTAGTCAATAATGGCCCCAAAGCACATGAGGACTGATGCTGGCAATTCAGATATGCCAAAGAGAAGCCGTCAAGTGCTTCCTTTAAGTGAAAATGTGAAATTTCCTGAAAGAAAAAAAAATCACATGCTAAGGTTGCTAATATCTACAGTACAACATTTTGAGAGAGAGAAAGAGACCACATTTACATAAATTTTATTACAGTATATTGTTATAGTTCTACTTTATTATTAAATATTATTTTTAATCTCTTATTGTGCCTCATTTATGTATAGATAGGGGAAAACATAGTATATACAGAGTTTGGTACTATCTGCAGTTTCAGGCATCCACTGGGGATCTTGGAAGCATCCTCTGTGGATAAAAGGGAACGAAGGTACTAAATTCTCTCTTACGTATACATTTGTATAGGTGACCCATGTTCTAATCCATGGTTATATTTTTTATTCTTGTTTTAATACTGAACTGTTTTAGTTGCTATGATTTTCTAGGTAGTGTTCTATAACCTGTCTTGCTGGGATCCAACTGAGAGACACTAAATGAATAGATAAATTTAACAAGAATTTACATTTTTAAAAATTCCCAATGATCCTAGCTAGAAACACGGTATATCTCTCCACTTATTTGTAATTTTTTGAACTTCGGTCCTTATTGGGTCACTTTAGTGCTAGGCATTTTAAAATTGTATTTGTAATCAGGAACTCGTTTTCCCTTTACATTTTCTAGTTATTTCTTATGGGCACAGGAGAAATCTATTTGTTTTAGTTTGATGACCTTGTGCATAGCAGACTTTCCAAGTGGTCTTCTCCCTCCTATTATTGTCTTGTATTTTCCGGAGAAATAATCACATCTTCAAAATAGCAGCTTTGTCTGCTCTTTTTCAGAATTTATGCCTGTATATTTTTCTTTTTCTTACTTTTTTTTCTTTCTTTTTTCCTTAGTATGTTAGGCAGGATTGTCAGTGTAATACTGAATGGTAACACAAAAATGAGCATTCTAGTTTTGTTCCAGTGCTCGAGGAACACTTACAATGTTTAACTTGAGACTTTCTGACAGATGCCTTTTATCAAGTTAAGGACATTATCTGCTCTGGTTTACTAAAGTTATTTTTTTTTAATCAAGACCATGTATAGGATATTTATCAAAATGCTTGCCAAAGAATCTTTGAGGCAATCATATCATTTTACTTCTATTAATTTTGATAATTTTTCCAAAGTAAAGCATGCATAAAGAGATTAAAATATCAAACAGTCAACAAGACCTTAAAAAACAGAAGTAGCTCTTTTGGCCATCTTCCCCAGTCTGTGTTCAGTTTCCCAGATGGATTATCTTTAACCTTTTAGCTCTTCCTTCTGTACTTATTTCTGTAGTTTGAAATGACATGCGGATACAGCTCTTTGTAATTTTTCAAGTTCCAGTCATTAATCTGTTCACATAATAGGACAGAAGATGAAAATTTCTCCCCTGACACTCTTTTTCATTCTCCTGTTCACATAATAAGGCATAAGATGAAGACTTCTCCCCTGACACTCTTTTTCATTCCCCATCCATTCTCGTAATACATCACAGTTTGAGGTTCATCAGTAATCAGTGTTATCATTATGATAGTTATTTAAATGATGTTCATAACCAAGTCATACACTACGTTATGATCACATTTCCTTTCCTGTGCAACATCTTTCCCAAAAATAACTATTGCCCTCTTACATATTTGCTTGGATTTTGTGTGCCTTCATTATGAATTCTTCCCAGGCACCCTGCAGAATTCTAAAATTCTTCTCAAGACAGTGAGGCACATTGTGTAATTTATCAATTCCATTTTATTTTCTTGGGAAAGCCCTTCTGGAGCCACCCATTCTCCTGATCCAATTAGCTCTGGTTAGTTTCAGCTTCCAAGACTGACCTTCTGAAGCTTGACATCTCTCCTGTGCTGGGTCTTGTTTTATGGATTACATGTATCTTCTTTCTTGCTTTACTATCTCATTTTGGCTTACCACATTATCCAGTAGCCTCCTGACTAAGAGTCCATAGAAGGTATATATCTTAAGATCATTCATATCTGGGAAAAAAAAATGTATTCTTAAACCTCACAACTGTATGAAAATTTGGTAAGTCTAAAGGTATAGTTTGGAAATTAATTTGGTTAACTGCCTTGCAGTTTTCAGCATTGCTAATAAGAAGTCGGATGCCATTCTGATTTTTTTTTTTTTTTTTTTTTTGACGGAGTCTCACTCTGTTGCCAGCCTGGAGTGCAGTGACACAATCTCAGCTCACTGCAACCTCCACCTCCCAGGTTCAAGTGATTCTCCTGCCTCAGCCTCCCGAGTAGCTGGGATTACAGGCGCCCGCCACCTCTCCGGCTAATTTTTTTGTATTTTTAGTAGAGACAGGGTTTCACCGTGTTTGCCAGGAAGGTCTCGATCTCTTGACCTCATGATCCACCCTCCTCGCCCTCTCAAAGTGCTGGGATTACAGGCATGAGCCACCGCGCCCGACCCCCATTCTGATTCTTGATCCTGTCTTTCTATGTCACCTGTTTTGCCTCTCTGAAACTTTCTGGCTCTTGTCTTTAATCCTTTGATTCTAAATTCTCATGATGGTTTGCCTTGATGTGGCTGTTGTGCTTAGTTCTCCAGGGCCCTTTCAAATGGAGAACAGTTTATTTCAATTCTCATCATTTTGCTTGTGATATTATTTAATTGTTTTCTCCCTTCTGCCTTGTCTCTCTCTTTTATGGTTTGGAATTCCTGTTCGTTGGATATTAGGTTTCCTAGGTTGATCCTCTAGAGACT